TTAACATTAGAACCGCCAAGACCGTCAAAAAGACGGTTTGGGTTTTTATAATACAAATAACTATTTTTAATAAAAACTACGAGCCTCTCATCCTATGACTTTTCTTAAATATGTGTCTTCTATGTTTTCTGTGTTACTAAAAGAAAACACACAAGCTTTCTGAGCATTTATACCTCTAACCGCCGCCGCCGTCATATTGACGGCAGTTGAATATGATACATTTCCCTGGATTGCTTTCGTGTGTCTTTTTAATTTTTAGTTATTGTTTCTATTTATAGACTTCATATTTATGCACGGGAATATAACGAAGAGCAACAGATAGATATGAGATATACAGACAGATAGATAAGAGACCAGAGACATATAGATATACAGACTGATAGATAGAGACCAGAGACATATAGATATACAGACAGATAGATAGAGACCAGAGACATATAGATATACAGACAGATAGATAGAGACCAGAGACATATAGATATACAGACAGATAGATAGAGACCATAGACATATAGATATACAGACAGATAGATAGAGACCAGAGACATATAGATATACAGACAGATAGATAGAGACCAGAGACATATAGATATACAGACAGATAGATAGAGACCATAGACATATAGATATACAGACTGATAGATAACATACAGCACGATCGATACAGAGAGACTGAACAACGATGAAGAGAGGATCAGGAATGAGGTATTCTTTCAAAGAGGCTTTGGCAAAGATTCAGGAGATGAACGAAGGGGAGTCTGATGGCGGAGAAATGCCCGATGTGGACTGGAGTGAAGAGGAGGGGATTTCCGACTCGGACCCTGAACCCCCACGGCCCAAAAAAAACAAGACTTTTGTGCCAACTGCCCCATCGGTTGGCGTTTCCACTCCAGATAAGCATGGTTATTAATTTTCTTCATTCAATTCTATTAATTTATTAGTTTTTATAAATGATTTTGTATGGGATAAAGCATAGAAAAGTTATAGCGTAGCGCAGCCGCTTGACAAACTATAAATATGGTCCACAAACTACTGTATCTTGATGATGTTAAAAGTTTGAGTTATAAACAGTAAACAATATCTAAAATTATCCTCACTAACAACGAACAAGAAACTATAATGTAGCTGAATATAATATCTCAACAGTGCGACCTGATGCCCTGCCAACAGCTGCTGTCCGGTCCGGTGCAGAGTATAGGCCTACACTGGTCTCTGAGAGACCTCACACCTCATCTACAGGTAGAACAATTATTTTATTGTAAAACGTGGGTGTAAATGATGTAGCCTAAGCTCTTTTGTTAATTATAAAAAAAACGAATTCAATAAATCTCAATAGTGACAGCACCAGCAGACAGGAGTGCGCCGACACCACCTCCAGTAGCACCACCTCCAGATACAGGTATAAATATTGCAAAACTCTGCCAAAGTACAACAAAACCTACATTTTTGTTTCCAAATATTTATTAGAAAACTAAAATATTTCTATAAATAAGAAAATATTTACATAAAGCCTGAATATCGAAATCTTGAAAATCGTGTAGCCTATCTGTATGTGTGCAATTATTTATGTTTTGCAGTCCGAGCACATGTGAGCAGGGAAAAGATGGGACAATCTGGGAAACCATCCAGCCTGGAGGACACTCGGGAGGCAACAGTCCCAAAATGTCCTCACCGAATCTGCGGGCCCACAGCTCATGCGAGGCGCAAAATTGAGGACGCTCTGAGTGCCTTCTTGTGCTTGCTGGACATGCAAATGCTGCAGCACAGGGACTGCACTGTGGCTGAGGCGCACCGTATTGAGGCAGACAGCTCATGGGATCTCTCCTCTGAAGGCCTTCATTGCCCTGCTGTACGTGAGAGGAGCTTACAACAAGAACATCGAGTTGGAGAGCTTTTGGTCCGAGGAATGGGGACTGGCTTTCTTCAGGGCCACGATGCCGAGGAATCGCTTTAGGCAGATAATGCGCTACCTGCGCTTTGACAATAAGGATGACAGGCATACCTGTCTGTGCAGTGACAAATTTGCCCTGATGTCTGAGGTGTGGGGTGGATTTGTCAGCAACAGCATTGCCTGCTACAAACCTGGGGCGTGCATTACTGTCGATGAGCAGCTGTTCCCCACTAAAGCACGGTGCCGTTTTACGCAGTACATGGCCAATAAGCCAGACAAATTCAGGATAAATTTCTGGTTAGCTGCAGATGCTGAAACCAGATACTTTTTGAATGGCTTCCCATACCTCAGCAAAGATGAAACGAGACCGGCTCATCAACGTCTGGGGGAGAGTGTGGTGATGAAGCTGGTGGAGCCAATTTTTTCACGTCCCTCACCCTGGCCAAAAAACTGCTGCAGAAAAACACCAGCTTGGTCGGCGCGGTCAACAAGGCCAGACGGGAGTGGCCGCCTTCAGTACCGGAGCAGAGAGGGGAGCTGTTTGCGATGAAGGTGCTCAGGCATGAACGAGCAACCCTAACGGTTTACCAGGGGAAACCAAAAAAAAATGTTGCACTTCTTAGCACCATGCACCCTACTGTCTCCATTGGGAGGGATAGAAAGAAAAAGCCAGAGACTGTCACTTTCTATAATGTCACGAAGGTAAGCTATTTTATCATTTTTAATTTATCATTTCATCAGGCTACCTTATTATTATAATAATTATTATTATCATTACAAACATACTCAATTTCTGATCATTACCATCAGGTCAGGGTTGATGTGCTGGACCAGATGGCTCGGCAGTACACCGTAAAATGGGGAACTCGGAGGTGGCCCGTTGCTGTGTTCTATAACATTCTGGACATGGCTGCGATAAACGCCCATGTCCTATTCAAGTCATGCACCTCGACCACCATCCCCAGAAGAGCCTTCATTCTTGAGCTGGCAAAGCAACTGAGAGCTATGTGTCAAGAACAGTTTGACGTCGGTGCCCATGGAGCCACAGCATCCACAAGAGCTGAAAGGAGGCAGTGTCAGACCAACACGCACTGCAATAAGAGTAAGACTGTTGTGTCCTGCAAGGGGTGCAAGCGCCCTGTGTGTGGGAAGTGCACCGTAAAGGTTGAGCACTTTTGCCGCAGGTATGTGCCTTAGTTGTCGCGGCGCTGTCCAAGGTGCTGATCGTTAATTTGTTGATCTGTTTGTTTGTTCGCCACAGCATCTGTTATTGAGTTCTGTTGTATAGTTTGTTATGCCCATAGATAGGCTTGTTTTTGTTGTCGCTGTTTTTGTTCATTCATTAATGTTCATTCAATAATTCGCGCACATGTGCGTGCGTGCGCGTGTGTGTGTGTGGGGGGGGCATGCATGTGAATGACGGGGAAACAAACCCATTTCCAGAGGAGGAGGAGATTCAATAAAAAAAAAAGTTTCCTCTCATTATTTTGGTGTTTATCTCTTTCTTTTAAGTGTTTTTATTAAAATGCGTAAAAAACGGCGCACTTTAAAAGCCGACAGATATTGTAAATTGACATGCAACATTTAAAAGGTTACCAATCCTGCCTTATGCTGTGATATTTGGTTTGTACATAAAAGTAAGTTGTATTCATCATTATTTCTCGTAAATTCATCAAAAAAATGCATTATTTGTGTGCTTCTGTGGGCACAAACAATTAAATTACATATGCCGTCAAAAAGACGGCTGCGGCGCTTGGAGGGGGTTCTAGAATGTTGGCGGTCCTAGTGTTAATTAGGGTGTGTTCCATTTAATAAATCCTTCATGCGAACGCGAGTGGAGAGGGGGGGTTGGAGGTGTGTCTCTGGAGGAGAGTGGAGGCTTCAGTATGGAGGAGGTGTGGCCAAACAGCAGTCTGTTTTGGTTTCATGCTAGTGCTCAACGGCGACATCTACTGGATCAAAAAAGTGGCACATTCTTCCTTCAATGGGTTCCCTTTTAACCAGTGTGTAAAAGTGGACATAAAAATGAAGAAACGTGTGTGTCCATGTGAACAAATTACCTTCAGGGTCCACTCTGAAGCCGAACTCATCGTACTGGACTTCAGGCTGTTCTGAGGGGTCTTTCTGCAGAGACAAAGGTGCATTGGAGAGGTGCATGAATGACTCTCTTAAAGAGCCAGATGGGCATATAGGACACAGCAGCTTTACAGACAATAAAACAGATCAGATGTCGCAGATGCACATCTTCAAATGTAGTCGAGCTCTGCAGAAACTGCCCTGCTTGTGTTTCACTTCTTGCTGTTCTGTCATCAAGAGTTCACATCTTTCAAATGAATACTTTTTCCTCATTCCAAACTAGTTACTCTTTTATTGTTTTCAGAGCAAAGTTATGGTTGAATTTTGCACATAAACAACAAATGAAGTCACATTCTCACCTGATGGTACTTGGCCAAGATGTCCTGGGGCCACATGCTCGGGGTGAGAGCAGAGAAAGGCCCGCCAGGAGCCGGCGTGTAGGTCCCTAGAACAGAGACACATTCAGGTGTTAGCAAAGAGGGTATAAAGAGGATTCTGGGAACAAGGAAGCAGTTTAAGTGATTATTACATTAAAATAGATGCATTCATTCACGTGGTTACATTTTAAACAATGGTCCAAATATTAACAAATAATCTGTTATTTCAGCGATCAAAGGTCAGCGGGGATCTGTTTTTTTTTTCAGAACAGAAAAACTGATTTTTTATGACAAAGATCTTTAAACTGAGAGCCTTTGCAGTTGTTACCTGACATGTTGTTGATACGAGAGTGAAAAGCTTCGATATGCAAACAGTGGAGTCACTCTGGAGAAAGGAGGTCAGCAGATGGTACTTTCTCTGTGAAAGGACAAACAGAGAGAGAAGAGAGAGAGCGAGAGAGAGAGAGAGATAAAGATAGAGAGAAGTGAGTGGTGCAATTTTGTGGGTTTGTCAGCGACTCTGGGAAAATACACAATATACAGTAAACTAAGTGTTGAAGTAGTTGTGGTGTGTGTGGTGGCAATCCAACCGAAGAAGAGTCAAACATGAAACACAATGTCTGGAATAACTCCATCATCATTTCTCTCACGATCGACCGCTCTGTGATTTTAAGTCTTTAAAGCCGTTTTCACATCTGAAACTATCGAGATAATTTTAGGAGGACTGCTCTGGTGTTTCTCCTGACCTGGCTGTTCACATATGAACCTCACAGCGGGAGATAATCCCTGTAAGACAGGAGGGAAAGTAGCTGATGCTACACGGTGGAATAATGAGAATATTAGCCTTTAATTCAATGCTACGTTCAGTTCAACAGAATCACACTATCAACAAAAGAGTGGAGAGAATCATACTGATGAACAGACAAACATAATGCAGCCGTTTAATAACTGTCTTGTGCAGACTGTGCACGCATTGTGCAGCAGTCACAGGAAATAATCGTCACCCCCCCCCCTCCCACTCGCTCGAGGTGAATTCTCTTGATTATATCCTGCTGTGTTCTCACATCAGCTCGCTCTGACTTCCTGCAGAAAAAAATACGATGAGGCTGGAGGAGAAACTCCGGATACAGTCTGAGTGGAAAAATGTGTCTGTTTGTGTTCACATGCAGCTTGCATCCGGCAAATATCAGGAGTTTTTCAGGAGTTTTCTGCAAGTGTGAGAGCCCTATGCAAAGTGTCTCTAAATCTATTAACACTGAAAAACAACGACGCAGATACCTTTTATAATGAATCCACTACTAAGGCCAAAAACCCTTCAACAAATCAAGGCTCCTTCTTCAAACATGACTGATTCCTCACAATGACAGTAAAGTGAGAGAGGAAGAGACACAGAGAGGGCGTCTCCTCTCTGTGTGTGTGTGTGCGCCAGAGGCTAATTACTTGAATTCTCTTTGTGTTCCACTCTCACACCGTACAGATCCTGGGGCTAAATTAACAGACTTTACTTTTGTGAGACTATTCAATAAAAGAGTTTGTAACCCGAATGGTATCAGGAAGTCTACTCAATTTTTGTGCAACAACATTTCTTTGGGGGAGTCTTGTGCATAAAAAACTGTGGGCATTGTTAGATGGCTACTGTGTGTGGACAATCAAGTGGCCCAAACATGACAGAGATGCATGTGGGTTTTATTTGTTAGTTAGTTAGTAAGTTAAAAAATTAGAACAAAAGGTATGTTTTTGTTTTTAAATCTTTGCACTGTGTTTGCCTTTGTTGCCTAGTTTGATAGTTGGACAAATCAAAAGAAAAAAAGAGGAATTTTTCATTTGATTATCATCAGCCGAGCCTGTTGGCCCATGGGCTATAACGCACTCGGATGAACATTTAATTTTTCCACATCAGGGCATGACCATCACATGCTTCTGATAACAAGATGCTAAAGTTGGGAGTAGAAAATGCAGAATCAAAAAAAGGCACAACAAACGTTCTGCTGTCAGAATAAATTCTGCACACACAGATGTCCTGGATTAGATATCCACTTAAACTTCTCTGGATCAAAGTTTCTACATTCTTTAAGGAGGGAAATCTTTGGAGTTACAGGATACTAGTGAGCATCCTGGGGGGCGACGCTATTTGAAATGTGACCACACACAAACATCCAGCGGCAGACACACAACAGTGCAACAACTGCAACCTGAAAGAGCGGCTCAGCAGCAGCATGCAAACGCCAAAACGATTCATTCCAGCAGCCAGCACGCCACTCTGAGGAGAGATTTAGGACTCAGAGAGAGACGAGGAATCAATTTGAGGTTTGGAGGGCGGCCAGCTACTGTGTGTGTAGCTCTGTGTGTGTGTAGCTCTGTGTGTGTGTAGCTCTGTGTGTGTAGCTCTGTGTGTGTGTAGCTCTGTGTGTGTAGCACTGTGTGTGTGTAGCTCTGTGTGTGTGTAGCTCTGTGTGTGTAGCTCTGTGTATAGCTCTGTGTGTGTAGCACTGTGTGTGTAGCTCTGTGTGTGTGTAGCTCTGTGTGTGTAGCTCTGTGTGTGTAGCACTGTGTGTAGCTCTGTGTGTGTGTAGCTCTGTATGTGGCTCTGTGTGTGTAGCGCTGTATGTGTGTAGCTCTGTATGTGTAGCTCTGTGTGTGTAGCTCTGTGTGTGTAGCTGTGTATAGCTCTGTGTGTGTAGCTCTGTGTATAGCTCTGTGTGTGAAGCTTTGTGTGTAGCTCTGTGTGTGTGTAGCTCTGTGTGTGTAGCACTGTGTGTGTAGCTCTGTGTGTGTAGCACTGTGTATAGCTCTGTGTGTGAAGCTTTGTGTGTAGCTCTGTGTGTGTGTAGCTCTGTGTGTGTAGCACTGTGTGTGTAGCTCTGTGTGTGTAGCTCTGTGTGTGTAGCACTGTGTGTGTAGCTCTGTGTGTGTAGCACTGTGTGTGTAGCTCTGTGTGTGAAGCTTTGTGTGTAGCTCTGTGTGTGTGTAGCTCTGTGTGTGAAGCTTTGTGTGTAGCTCTGTGTGTGTGTAGCTCTGTGTGTGTAGCTCTGTGTGTGTGTAGCTCTGTGTGTGTAGCTCTGTGTGTGTAACTCTGTGTGTAGCTATGTGTGTGTAGCTGTGTGTGTGTGTAGCTGTGTGTGTGTAGCTGTCTGTGTGTAGCTGTGTGTGTAGCTGTGTGTGTGTGTAGCTCTGTGTGTGTAGCTCTGTGTGTGTGTGTGTGTGTGTGTGTGTAGCTGTGTGTGTGTAGCTCTGTGTGTGTGTAGCTCTGTGTGTGTAGCTCTGTGTGTGTGTAGCTCTGTGTGTGTAGCTCTGTGTGTGTAGCTCTGTGTGTGTGTAGCTCTGTGTGTGTGTAGCTCTGTGTGTGTAGCTCTGTGTGTGTGTAGCTCTGTGTGTAGCTCTGTGTGTGTAGCTCTGTGTGTGTGTAGCTCTGTGTGTGTGTAGCTCAGGAGACAACTGGGAGTTTGGACTCGCTCTCTTCCAACAAATTGACAGTTTAATTACCCGTCAAGAAAACCAACACCAATAAATCCTGACTGCAAACTGTTGCACAAAAACAAACGTTAACCCTAACCCTAAATAAATATAATATATAGGCATAACTTTACTTTACATTTTGAAACCTGCCTGTTTGGAAAATCTCCAACCTAAATGTTTGTGCTGTCACTTTGCAGGACAGCTCATTCTCTAGTTTAATCATTAGGTAGCAGATCATTTACTCCCTATATATGAAAAAGCCAAATCACTAATCAGAGAACTTTCGATCTTAATTTGAAGATTTTTCCACCAGAACAAACGAGAATCTCCTCCACCATCGAGGTGTGGCCACGCTCACCTGTGTTTGCACACGCTGGTCAACACCCAGCTTGAAGAAAAACAAAGACTAACATCCTGTTGTACAGACTGGGTGGGCAGGAGTGTGAGTGGCCCTAAAGGGCGGCTTACCGACTCCCCCCGACCCTCCCCTATGCAACACCTCCTCCAGTTGTTCCTCACAGTAACCACAACAATGGTGACTCATGTTGTGAATACGCCCACCTACACAGACGTGCATGTCAGACAAACTCTGCCTCATAATGACAGACTGCCCTCTGTTTACTTCAGCAGACGGTGTCTTTCCACCTTTTTAAAAAATGTCTCACACACACACACACACACACACACACACACACACACACACACACCACACACACACACACACACACACACACACACACACACACACACACACACACACACACACACACACACACACACACACACACACACAACACACACACACACACACACACACACACACACACACACACACACACACACACACACACACACACACACACACTATCAGTTAACAGGAAAGTCCATTCCTCAAGAACAGAAGGAAGTAGAGAAAGGCATTCATGCAGATCTGCTCCATCTTTCAAACAAAACAGGAATCTCTTCTAACTCTAAAGTCAGAAGGCAGCCGCTCAGCAACACATGAGCCTTACTCTTATGTCTCTCCATTGTTTCCCCTGTTAAAATCTAGAATTGACTTGAAGATTTTACTCGTACTTTTAAAGCACATCAGTGTTCAAATTAAGAAGCAGAAAGTTTACAAAAAATGTATCAACATAATATAGTGTAACTGAACGTGAGACTGAAATGTACTGCTTTCCAGACATTTCTAGAAACATAATTCGCAGGGAAAAGGATTTTTATGACGCTGTGTTTGTTGATCATTCCCACCTGAAGCTTAAACCAGGGCGGGTCAAAGAGGGTAGCTAGTGTGGCATGGACCACCTTTGAAATCTGATGGCCGCCCCAGAATCCAAGACAATTATTAGTTATAAAATCTAGTTATGAGCAAACTCCTGCACACAGTTTAACTCTCAGTGTCAACAGGTCACAATTTAGAAGTTTGAATTGTTCTTTGGCCAAACATTCCCTTAAGAATTAACCTTTAAAGATGTATACTTTGCCACTCTGTTGTGTTTCTTTTTAAATGTATAGGGATGCCATGTTACTCATCCCGGGTGCAGCTAGAGCTGGAACAGACTGATTTCAAAATCAGAGTAATCCAGCTCACACCAGCATTGTTCAGATTGACTTTAAAGTTTGATGCATAGAAAACATTGGAGCGAACGACCCGTTTAGCAAATTGGCTTCCTCCACTTGAACTTACAATCCTGGTGAGTGCTGGATTATCTTTTTAGACACTTTAATGTTAGTAATTAAAATATATGACTAGTGGGGAAATGAGAGAATGAAATGCTCTTCGTTCTGTGTATGAAAGCATGTGTGCACACAAATTTACTCCCCAGTCTGTGCCCACCTCAAAAAAGCCTGGACACGCCCCTGGCTTTAATCATAACAAGTTTAGGAATAGATTAAATGTGGCAACATGTGACCCCCTGGATTTGTTTTTTAAGGTTAAATATAATCCAACACAGCCATATTTTTTTATATAGTTACAAAATTATAATTTTGATTATCCAGATTGCAGAATAAACCGGCTTTGGAGACATCAAAAATTCAAAGTAGGGCATGTTATTTTCATTAAAGTTATATTTTTTCTTGCATCTTACTGAGAGTGCATACATTATCCCACAGGTAATCTAATTTCCACAGACTGTGACGTCAAACCAGAGCTGACGTCAGTTGCAGTAAAGAACAGAATGAGTTTTACTTCCATTTTTCAGAAGCGACACATCTGGCTGACAATAAAACACAGTGACGTAATGCATGATGCACACAAAAACGTACAGTGAGACATTAAATGATAACTTGTTATAGATAGAAACGACCTCAGAGAGCACTGTTATGTGTTCACTTTGAGTTGTCAGCTGTTAGCCTCACATGCTACGCTTCGCTTTGAGCTAACAGTTTTACATTTAACGGTGAGCATGACACTGTTAGCTTCTCTTACCGTCACATTATTCTCGTAAAATCACGGGGTTGTGGTTTGTGCGGACGTGTCCTCTGTCGGTGAATTAAACGGGAGACACCATATGCTAAGCCATCGTTCGCCTCGTAATTGTGATTTCCGTGCGCTGTGCACCTGCTGACGACGTGTAGCTCCGACGTATCCTTACACCCTTAACGGGGTTTTCCTTTCCATCCTGAAAAGTAGGTCCTCATCCCGGAACTACACCGCTCACGGAGAATATCCATCCGCTAAGGAAAATATGACGTAGGCACTCGACACTTATGCTGCATTCACGCACATCGGAATAATAGGAAAAACGACTATCCAGAAAATGGGGGGGGGGGGTAACAACAATTTGGTTTCCGACTAGTTTAAAAAAAAGTTGACAGAATATAAACTATATTATACAGACACATGACGTCAAAGTAATTGCTTGAAACCTTTTTATTACTAGGCTATATTCAAGTGAAATAACAATTATGCTCGCATTTAATATCGTATAAGTTAGTAGCATTTGCTTGCTCTTCAGATATAGTGTTTTATTAAGTTTTAACCAATAAAAATAAACATTTTTCCACATTATAATTTACGATTTAGCCTACAAGCACACGAAGTCAGAAGAACGACCCTGTGAAAGTGGGAATTCCGAGCTTCAAAGGATTACATGAATGCAGCGTCAGTTCTTCCATTCATTCAAGTTTTGCGTCTTTTGCTCATTCATTCATGCTGCCGGCACTGAAATGTCACGATGCACCGCGATGTTTATCACAATGTGAGATCCAATCAGGGCATATTAAAGCAAAACATCCGGTCATGAGAGTCTGGGATCATGCTGGTGTTTGTAGTTTGTGTTTGCCAATTTAAATTATGTATTTCTTGTATTTTAACAATGCCTTTTTAAGAGAGATTGCCAGTAGGCCTATTTATTTATTTATTTTGTCCATAACAGTTCAGACATACTTGATATTCTTTTCATAAGTTTTAGCATACATGCAAAACCATGTAAAATAATTAAATCAAACCGGAAAATCTAAATCTTTGGATATTAATGACAAAAGTCAAAAGATTGAATCACTGAGTCTTTAGTCAACATATTGAAGACTGAATTTTTTCTTAAAAGGTTACAGTAGGTAAGTCTGATGATTCACTTCTAAACATAATGCTATTACATGATCGCGCCACAAGATGTCTCTAGTGCAATAAGTTCAGAAGCTCCTGACGTTGGCACATTCATTATTTAAGGCCTCACAGCAGCAGCAGCTGTGTCCTGTTAATCACAGCCCCCACAATCCTCTATCCTCCTCACATCCACTCAGCCACGTACATTTGACCAAGTTAGATCTGTTTGCTCCGGTATTAATAAAGAAAACGTGTTCTATCAGTGGAAGTCAGATTTACTGGGTATCAGAACCAATCAGTAGGGGTGCAGTGTGACGGGAGCGGCTGCTTTGATGCTGGACGAGAACATGCTCAAAGGCTGCGTTTTATTCAGGTCGACTTGTTCTTAAATAATGACTGATGAATGATGTGTCTGTGCGAGCATGCACATGAAAAGATGCTGCATAGCCTCCTCACTAAGACGCCAATAATCCTTTAAAATGCAAATCACTCTGTGTCTCAGTTTGTTTTTACTGTAGACTCAGATAACAGTCCATACCTCAGCTCTCACACTCCTCCTTTTTTCCTCTCTTTTTCTGCCTTCTCCTTTTACTTTTTTTCATCACTGACAGCATTGGAAAAAGTTTGTCTTAAATGTATTTTCCCCTCACATATCTTTCACTCAATCTCGCTTTGCCTCTGTCCTGTCACACACCAGCATGACACTCTTCAGTTCCTCTTAACCCCCTTGCATTGCTTGTATGCTCAGTTTGCTGCATAATGCCAGAATGAGTCACATCGTTAAAAAATGCTGCAGCCCAATCCCCCGACCTTGCCCACAGTTGTTGGCCAAATAGCCAGCACAGTGCATCCAACCTACACGTCAGAGTAATGTGGGTGTGACTCAAACCCGTCTGCCCCCTCTTTCCCCCCCTAATCCAGCTCCTCCAGTTTCCCTCTCTCTGGCTGTATTGAAAGCTGATTGAATGATGGGCACTGTCAAGCAAGCAAGCAAGCCCTGCATCTTACACTGCAGTTGCTATGACGTCAGGCGAAGGCAGAGAGAGGCGGGTGTGGGAGATGCTCAGGGAGGAATGAGGAGACAGACAGAGATCGAGAAGCAAGGAGGGGGCGGGAGGATACGTGGGAGAGGAAAGGAGAGAGAAACAAAGCTTTGTTAAGGAAGTGTGATTGAAAAATAAAACAGAGAATGAGCAAAGGATTAACCCAAGAAAGGAAGGTGTGCATGGCTAAAGCACACAAGGGTAATGACTAAGAGCAAGGTAAAGGTGAGCAATAAAGCGAGAGCAGTGGAAGGGTTGAAGGCGTGGCTGAGAGAGACATTTCTCTGATAAATAGTTCAAACGAAGCATTGGAAAACGTCAAGCTCACAGCCTCTGCGTATCTGTGGGTGGGTTGTAGTCAGCTCAATAGCTCGCACGCTCACAAATACAAGCACACATGCT